GCTCTTTGAAAACAGAACACATGCTCCTCCAATTTCTCTACTGTCACAGTCCTATCACATCAGTGCCTTGGGGTCCCCACAGCAAACACATGTTACTTGCACCTTAAAACAGCACAGCTCACTGTCATTCTTCCACAAGATTGTGAAGAGTAGTAAAATAATGAACAATAATGTACAATCAAATATCCATATTTTAAACTCTTTAAATATTAGCTCACTCTATCTTGACACAGCAGGCAAGAAGACATCAAGTTACAAATTAACAGCGTCTCATAGAAAGTTCTTAAAAGGTAAAGGACTTTTAGAAGTTAATTCAAAGTCTTTTGCAAAGATAAGCAAAAGCACTAAAATAAGAAAACCATATAGTTTTACAAACCTAGTCTAATTTAAAAGCAGTAATGCTGAGATAAGATAGGTGAACTCCTAAAGAAAATAACAGAAATGAGATAACACCACATGTTGGAGAGGAGAAATGCAAGAGTGACTGTACAGAAAGACAGAAGTTGGGGGTTTTTTCCCTTTCCTCAATTTCTGGCACAAAAGGCATATAGAAAAGTGTCTTCCTAATGGCTGAAAAAACTGGTCCCAGTTTGACTGCCATGCTCCACATGACACCTCTTTTTTCTTAGAGCCCTACAGAGCAATAATTCTCACTTCAATCTCCAGTTTAAATGCAATATGTCGAGAATAAAAAAAACGGGAAATTGTAGTTTGTTATAAAATACATCAGGAATAAAAGGTTATTACAAACAGATTAGTCCAGGGTGGAAATGACACAGGCTAAGCAGGAGGCATGGATAATCTGGGTAAGTGCCATGGAAAAGTAAATATCATGATTGAACTTAAGGCAAATGGAAGCAGTTCAAATTGGCTTCCTCCAATTCACTGCAGAACATGTGATGCCCACATGTCCATTTCCAACAAACTTCACCATAAAGAAACAAAGACCAATACTGTGAAGTGTTGAAAAACAAATCTAGCACCAGCTTCTTCCATGCCACAACAATGTGAATTACTGCAGCTGCCTGATAAGCATGAAAGAAAAGCGCTTGGGCTTTTTTACTCTTTTTATTTCCTTGTCTTTTGTAAGAGAGCTACTACCAACCTGTCAGTAACTGTTCACCTTGCACAGAGGAGAAAATTTCATAAAACACACATCTTGCCATTTTACAGTTGGTCTAAAAGGCTGAAAAGCAGCAACTCCCCTCAGCCTGTTTCCTCTGTCCACTACACGCTCCTGCAACTTCTCTGGCCCAGTTCTAGGAGGTTTCTATCACGTTAACTTTTCAGAACATCAGCTGCTTTATCCAACTCCATGTGAGGCAACAATAATGTTAGTGTTTGCTTAACAAAAGGTCAGGAACTGGCTATGGACAGGATGTCTCTAACAGCAGCAGCCCACACTTAAATTGATCATAAAAATCTCAGCCTTGCAGGAATAACTGATCACATCATTGCATGAATATTAAGAAAAATTTTAGTAAGGGGGGCCTAGAGAAGGACCTGAAAAAGAGCCATGCTTAAGTTTAAAGACTAGCTTTATGGCAAAGTGTTATTAAAGCCAAATACCAGCAGCAGAAGGATCATATGAAAATCATGCAGCTTAAAGGATGTTCCACCAAAACAATTCTTACATGACAATTTGAGATCATGGTTTCTTTAGCAAAGACAGAGGATATTTCACAGGCATGTTACCAGTTTTTAGAAAAAGAGCAAAATCACAGCAGTTACACTATAACAGCCCATTCTCTGTGCTCTCATCACAGATTAAAAATAACAAATTTAGAAATACTAAGGATAGATATCACATGCAGAGGAGTGACTGAACAAAACAGTTAATGGTTTGAATTAAGTTTTGTCTGGGGTAGGACACACATATTTTATCACTACAGGACAGCATATATGCTGCAGTCAATGGGGACATGGGAATTCAGCTGTTAAAACATCACTGCAGTTTCAGAGGAAGAGACTGAGTCTTGACCTAGAACCACAACGAAGTCCCCTTTAATTAGCTCCACTATAAATTGCTAACTGCTCATCACAGCAGAACAATCAAAGGCAGATGCAGACACTTTTAGCCACATTAACCCTGGGTGCTGCACAGTCTGCTGCAATCAACATGCTTTTAGTCCTGCTAGATGGGTTAAATTATTTAAGTTTAAATGATTTTTTTTTTATCAGCAAATTCCTTACTATTTCTAGCAGCTGTATCACCCTGTTTTAGGGCAACCTTGAGGACATCTCTATTTCTCTCTCCATTATAACTACCTGAAAATACTCCTCCTTTAAAAAAAACATAGAAAATACACAGAGGTTTCACTTTTCATCATTAGCAAAAGCAGAAAAGGACTCTGACATCGAGTATTGAGACAGTCCATAATTCTTAGGTGAATAAAGCATTAAAACTACTGAGCTGGCAATTGCTCTTGACCTTTGAGCCTCAAACCAAGTGTGACAACTACAGCTCCTGTTGAACTCAAGTTTGCAGCAGGAAGAAGTGAAATAAATCTTAAACTGTGCCAAGGGAAATATAGGTTGGATAGTAGGAAAAAGTTTTTTACAGAAAGAGTGATAAAGTACTGGAATAGCCAGCCCAGGGAGGTGGTGGAGTAGCCATCCCTGGAAGAGTTTAAAGAAAGACTGGATGTGGCACTCAGTGCCATGGTTCAGTTCAGGTGTTAGGGCTTGGGTAGGACTTGATGATCTTGAAGGTCTCTTCCAACCTTGTGATTCTGTGTGAAATAGCCTGGATGACACTTACAGCCAAATACACTATGACAGAACTACTTAACCAGAAAAAACCTGCTTCTTCTTCCCTCTCCCACCTGAAATTCCATTTTGCATCCCCCACTACTTCTTTCCCATCTGAAACTAGTACAAATCTTTGGAGAAGTCAGAGTGTGGTTAAGCAGAGGAAGCTATGCTTGTTTGCATGGAATCTGCTATTTCCTCTCTGCCAAAACACTTGTTTAAAGAAGTCATGTAATATTTCTATTAAACTGTAAATGCAGTTGACAAGGAAATGGCCTACTGGCAGTGCATTAACTTTGTGGCAGTGCCAACCAGCCTACAGCAAACTAGTGTGCATGGTAATTTCCCTATGCATTCCCAGGCAACAAAATTGTGCCTTACATAAATACCACAGAACTCCAGCAACATCTAGGAAAAGCAATGAAAATTTGCCCAAGCTTTCATGCTTGCCTGTATCAATTCTGTATCATAACTTAAACAAAGCATCTACATATGGCCAAAAGTCCTGTGAAGCTGTATCATATGACACCAGAAAAACTATTGCAACTTAAATCTGTGTATTTCTTGTTAACCACTGTAACAACTCACTAATAAAAATTAAGAAAAACTGAAGGTATCAAATATACGAAAGAATACTGACTACATACAAGCCCTTAAAAACCATAACGTAATTTAAATGTAATTCATTAACAAGAACACATGCTGTATGTAATCCAGAATTGTGTTACATTACATTGGCCTTTGATAGCATTCACTTGATTGCAAGAATTAAACAGATCCACAAGCATTCAAACACAATGACCTTTGATTTATAAGCAGCTATTGTCATGCACATAAAAATCCACTCTGATAATGCAGTCCTCACCTTTCAGCAGCTGGTGCAACTACATACAGTGATGTTACTCAGATGTAATTAAGGAGTTTTTGTCAGAAGTATAATCAAAAATCCCAGCATGATCTAGGGTAGTTAGTTTGTCATCAATCATTCTTCAAAATATTTTTACAGGTTATTTCACCTTAAATTCCCATCAAAATCCAGCTTCAGAGATACTTATTTTGTTGACAGCTTTCACCTGGGTATTTTTAGTTTGAATTGCAATTTTAAAGCAGTTAATTACATGGAAGAAAAATATGCTGCAGGAAAACTACTAAACTTGGCTTCCAAAATAATGGAATGTTTCTAAATGAAAATCACTCACTAGCTTTAACAAAAATTTCAGGAAATATCTCTCCTCCAAAGAGCACACACAACCAAAAATCAAGAACCCCACAAACAAAAATAGCACTAAATACACCTGAACTAAATCAAGAACCCCACAAACAAAAATAGCACTAAATACACCTGAACTCAGATGTGCATCACCTTACAGTAACTGTATATGAACAGTACCTTCTCTTTCTATAGTGGCGATTTCTTTCTGTTAAGATTCTGATACATGAGGCACCAGCAAAAGAAAACTGAATAAAATAATTTAATACGCATTACAATTTTGCAGCAAAATTTCTAAGATTTTTCTGGAGAATGGTATGCTTTAAGCAATATAAAGTGCCTTCTTAATTCAAAATGGGTTTTAAACAATTTAAGAATGGAGCATCAGTGCAATCAGCATAGCTGTTCTATAGCTTATTACAAAAGCAGCATTGTAACAGCAGCACAACTAACAGTGTCAAGTTATCCCTAAATAAACATTGATCCCCATTAGCTTCTCCAAGTAATTCCTTTGTAACTGCTACTCCTCATAAAGCAACTAATTCTATTTACATTTTATTTTGCAAAAAGTAAACTCATTCATTAAGAGACCTTAGGAGTCACTAATAAATAAAAGCTGTCAGGCGTAACTAATAATAATAATAATATTAGCACTACTCCCATAGGACAGTTCTGAATTCTTCTTTAGGTCATCTTTATTTCAAAATTGCCTTTCAAAAGCAGACTGAGTCTTGGTGATGCAAATCTCCAAGTGCAGTATGAAACAGATTCTATATACTACCCCAAAGCCAAATAAGAGCATCCTGCTGCAGCCCCCTCTCAAGTGGAGATACAGAAAAAAACCTTACAGAAATGTGTTAAAACACAGAGAAACTGGAGTCAAGAGGAAGCAATACAGAAAGCAAAAATTGTTAGTATTAAAATCTCTCTTCATAAACATACAGCTTTATGATTCCAGTATTAGGGGGTTTTGAATGTTTGTGGGTTTGAGAGTTGTTTTTTTTAATACAAAAATAAAAAATGCCACCAACACACTTACCCTCATTGGGTGAATATCAGCATATGGAGGCTTTCCTTCAGCCATTTCTATTGAAGTTATACCAAGGGACCAGATGTCTGCCACACAGTTATAGCCAATCTCTTGTATGACTTCAGGAGCCATCCAAAATGGAGTTCCTATAACAGTATTACGTTTTGCCATTGTATCCTGTAATTATATTATTTATGACATTAAACCAGGGATGCCTATTTTCAGATTATTTTAATATCAATTCTATATTTAAAGTTAAATTATCCACCCAAAGATCAAATGCTAGTGACTTCCAATTAAGACCAAACAGATTCAGCCCATCAGCCTACACAGGCCAAAGAGGTGACAATAAACCTCATACTAAAATTTAAAGAGATCATCAGGCACTTGATGCACTGGGCTATAAAAACAAACAACTAAAAACCAAATAGGCCTGCAGCACATTAAATACTCGCCATGATAAAGAATGTTAGCTCTGCCAATACCACTAGTGGCAGTGATACTGCCCAGACACAAAATTCAAGGCAGAGGACAAAGGTGAAAGAACAAGGTTGGGAGCACTATAGCATCTTAAAATTATCTTCCCACAGTTACTTACTGTTAACTGGCCAGCCACACCAAAATCAGCTAATTTTGCATGTCCCTCGGTGTTAAGAAGGATGTTTCCAGCTTTTATATCTCTATGTATTTTTCTCATAAAGTGCAAATATTCAAGTCCTTTAAGAGTAGATTTCAAAATAGTTGCAATTTCATCTTCTGTTAGCTGTAAGAAAACATAAAACCACTTTCAGGTATACAAAAAAGGTCCATATATTTGACTTATTTGAATCATGATCATTTCATAGTGATTATTGTAAGGAGCACAATGCTTGACTTTTTTTTTAGCAGACCCAGAAAAACTTCCATTTTAAAGCTAAAAAAAAACCCGAATAAAAAGTAAATTATTAAATGCCAACTATAGAGAAAAAAGGTGTTGTGTAGACTTAGCAGGCCAAAATGCTTCTCTTAACTCTTACATAGTGCAGAGTCACATGCCATCACAAATGCTACAATAAATTGCAAGTCTACTGGCCAAAAGATGACAGACGTTTCATTATGACAGAAAACACAACAAAGTGAAAAAAACAGACATATTTTGTTTTTTTACTTCATAAATAACACCAACTCTTGAGTAAGTCATCAGCTAGCAATTGTTTATTTTCATCACTTTAGATCAACAAAATAGGAACACAAGCTCCTGAACAAGCATTATCAGAGAAACAGTAAGAGTCTCTTTTTCAGCTATCAGACCCCCTTGAGAACACTTCTTCATCAACATTTGTTCTCAAATAAAAGCACAAACATGCACATATAACTCATTCCATGTGATGCAACTGCTCAAGGAAATACAAAGAAATTATCCATACAACTGAAATGCCAATTAATTACAGTACCCTGATGCTTCAATAGAAGAACTAAAATGAACTTCACACATCCTCAGAAATTCAAGAAACTGGCTCTGATTTGGCTGCAATTCAGGGTTGCATTTTTTCCCTCTTTCCTCTACTTTTCCAAGCCTACACAAAAAATAAATTAAGCACCAGCAATTCCTTCCAGTTTCAGTTCTGAAAGTGTCGGTAGACATCCACACCTCCCTCCAAAAAGCAACCAGCACCAAAAGCCCGTAAGAAACAAAAAACCCACTCGTGATCACTCTAAGCCAAAAGAATGAAAGAACAAAAAGGAAAAAAAATATTAGTCAGCAAGATTATCTGCACCTGAGCTGCTCACAAGTTTTAATTACCTAATAAACAAAGCCACTTCCCTGATGCAGATTCTATCCAGGCACACAAAACCTAGGTGTGGAGCCCAAGGGCACAGTTGCACATTTATCTGAACAGCAGTCCCAAGCTCAAGTCCCTCCTTTCCCTGAAACCTGCAGCAGTAATTCACAGTATCTCAGTCCTCCTTCCACTGAAAACTACAACAGACAGATCCTAGTTGAAAACAAACCTGTCTGCCAAATTATTTTTCCAACAAAACGCTTCCTGGATTCAACTCATGGCATAGTAAAGAAGGGCAAAACAAAGCAGCTGCTGCTCAAATTGGCATTGCTTTCAAAAAAGTGCATGTGTTGATACACCCCAAGAGTTCCAGAGACTTTTATAAACCTTTTCCTATGTGAGCAGAGGATGAAATTGATGGTGGTGTATTAGCTCCAAGCCAAGCACTTACCGCCTCTGCTGTGCATTATGCATTCCTTGCCCACCATTTATCTCTGAGATCTTTCACTGTTTCTATTCAGCAGCACACAACTCAAAGCCTTCACTTGTGCTACTTTATGCTGACTGCTATGCTGCTTCAAAGGACTGCATGCCAGAAGAACTGAAAACCCTTTTACACACAGTTCAAACAACACAACTTTCCTGGCATTGTGCCATGGGAGTAAAACCCTTTACCTGATCTGGAGTCAAGCAAGAAGGGACTTCAAATCAACTGTAAGATAAACTTAGGTATGGTCAAAAAGATATTTGGAGAAAGAGACAATCTTCATTATGTGAGCTAAAAATTCTGTGGTGAATCACTAAAACTGTGATTATCTGCAGACTCACACTTCAGGCAATTTAAACCCTGGCTATTAAACACTGTACCATGAATGGTTTAAGACATGCTGAGTGTAACACTTGCTGCCCAAACTTTACCAAATCCACCCAATTTCAGAAACAATACAATGTCGTCAATCTCCAAAGCCTTCCATGCAGCTAATCCTGAACATGCAACAGAAAATGACCCTGAGCACTGAGAAATGTACAGCAAGATAAGCATACAGCTTCCCTCCCACTTTTATTTAGAAACAAGTATCATGAAAAATGGTGCTTAGAGGACACGTCAGAGATCACTCTTCAATATGTTGTGCTTCTAAGGAGGTAAACACCTAGCTTTAGTTCTTGAAGAATTACCCACATGAGGATCTTTGGATCATCAGCTCTAGATGGAGAAGTGGTTTTGTAGCTGCATGACAAAGTCCAGCTCTCAAAACGAGAGGCTAACAGAAGACTGGAACCAAAAGCTGGCAAATAAGCTATGGAGTGAGAATCCAGCAAATCAAAAGAGAGTCCTGGAGTACTGCAACCTGATGCACTATCTGGGGATCCTCAGCAAAGTAAAGCTCTACCATGGCTACATATTACAGAAGAACAAAGTATTTACACAAAGTGGTCAAAAACACCCAGAGAAGTGAATACCACCTCTAAGAAGTAGGCAGAGAGCACAAGTCATGTTTATCACAAACAGCAGTAACAGGAAAGCACAGGAAAAAAGAAAGAACAGATTTATGATGTTCCAGGACACATCAATTCCAGCTCCAGACATCCTAGATTTATCCACTTGTGCTTCATATAATCGTCATATATATAACATGATGCAGTCCCTAAAATCACTCCTGCTTATACTGTTGCTGAACATGGCCAAGTATGTACACAACAATACTTAGACAAAATGTTTGGCTTTAATACCTAATATTATTTAGAAGGATGCAATGAATTTCCAGCCTTACACAAGAAGCAAAGAAAGTACACTCAACCTTCCCTAGACAAAATTACCTTTTCAGAAAATAATGCACTGCCATATTGAACATTACCATGCAATCATCAAAAAAAAAGTATCTAAAAACAGATTTCAAAATCATTAATTTCATTATTTTTGTGCCATTTAAACTTTTTGCAGAACCCATACCATCTATGGATAACAGTGAAAGCAAATAAATTACAAAGCTCTCCGCATGTATACTTCTAAATCCAGAAACACTATTTAACTATGCAGTACTGCATCTGAGCTATACTGCACAGTTAAATGCAGTACATCATTTCTTCCCTTATTGGATACACTGAACATTGCTTTAAAAGTTCCATTATGTTGCTCTGTAGACCACAACCATCTTGTGCAGAGGTTTTTACACACACTAATGGTATTTAAGTATTTTGTACACTGGCTGCCAAAAAGCAAATGGTGTCCTGGGCTGCATGAGATAACGTTGCCAGGAGGTGCAGGAAGGTGAGTGATCCTTCCCTGCTCCCCCACACTGCTGACACCACACCTGGAGTGCTGGGTCCACTTCTGGGCTCCTCAGTATGAGAGACATGGACACACCAGAGAGAGTTCACAAACGGCCACAAAGATGATCAAGGGACTGGAACATCTCTCCCAGGAGGAGAGACTGAGACTGGGACCATTCAGCCTGGAGAAGATCAAGCTCATGGGGAATTTTTTTCATGTATGGGAATAACTGAAGGGAAGGTGCAAAGAGGATGAAGTCAGGCTCTTTTCACTGGTGCCCAGTGACAGGAGCAGAGGCAATGGGCACACTCTCAAACACAGGAGGTTCCCTCTAAACAGCAGGAAACTTTTTACTGTGAGTGTGACTAAGCACTGGAACACGTTACCCAGGGAAGTTGTGGAGTCTCCCTCCTTGAAAACCATGCAGAAATGGCCCTGGGCAGCCAACTCCAGATGGCCTTTAACAGGCTGGCTGGGCCAGGTGACCTCCAGAGGTGCATTCTAACATCAACCATTCAATGATTCTGTATTAGTAGAATTTACAACTCAGTACAACAAAATTAGGTGCATTTTACACCAATTTGAATAAATCATGGGTGGTTTGTTTTACCTGACTTGTCTATATTTAAAGTTTGAATATCATCCCAAAATAAACAAGTTCCAAAATTTATCACTACTAAAGAAAAAGTAAGTTAGTTATCTGTCTGAACAAACAGCAAGTGTATGTTCCTAAGGAGGTAAAATCACTAGCTTTAGTTCTTGAAAAATTAGTGGCTGAGGTCTCTGCTGACTGAAAGCTAGGCAGTGTTATTCCAGTTTACAAAAAGGGAAGATTCAGGAATCTATGTATATGTTAGTCTAATCTCAGTTTCTACAAAACTGATGGAGAGCATCAAACTTGGTACTACTGAAAGGCTTCGAAAGAACAATGAGACCATCAGGCACTGTCAACATGGGTTCTCAGAGAGAAATCCTGTTTAATTTGATACCTTTCTATGATGAGGTCACCCACCCACTGGTTTTTAGTTAAGTGAGGCTTACTTACCTCATGGCATCCTTCTGCAAGATGAGCAGACAGACACTGAGCTGGAGGCTGAAGGGCAAGGCTCAAAGGGTTGTAGTGAATGGAGCTACATCTGGCTGGTGACCTGTCACCAGTGATGTGCCCTCAATTCTAGGGCTCATTTTGTTCACTCCTTTTATCGATAATCTTGATGCAGGAAATGAATGCACCACTAGTAAAATTTGCTGAGGATACCAAAGTGGGAGATGCTGTTTGAATGAAAAGTCTTGCAGAGGGATTTGGACAGAATGGAGCACTGGGCAGTGATGAACAGGATGAAACTGAGCAAGTTTGAACGGCAGATTTTACACCTGGGATGGGTAACACAGGGACAAGCATAAATTGGGAGAGTAATGGCTCAAGAGCAGCCCTGCAGGAAGGGATCTGTGTGTGCTGGTCAGCAGCAGGCTCAGCAGGAGTCAGCGATGCACCCTGGCAGCCCAGAGGACAAACCCCTTCCTGGGGTGCATCAAACTCAGCATCCCCAGCTGGTGGCAGAGGTGACTGCCCTGCTGGACAGCCTTGGTGCAGCCTCTCCTTGAGCTCTGTGTGCTGCTCTGGGGCCCACAGCTGAGAAATGAGGGTGAAGGATGAAAATGTGTCCAGAGGAGGGAAATAGTGATTTTTTTATTTTTTTTAACATGATAAAAAATAACACACAGTTC